AATTCTTTAGTATATTACTTGTGTGGTGTAGAAGATAATTATTTAAGAATGTAATTATGTAAGAATGTTAACACTCTGTTATAATTTTTTTAGTATATTACTTGTGTGGTGTAGAAGAGAATTATTTAGAATCATTTACTGCTTGCAAACCAATGATGGTAAGATGATGTCATGGGGTAGGACTGGATAAGTCTGACTTCTTCCTACTCCATTCAAGCATGTACTAGGTATAAGCAAATTGATATTGGATTATGTGTACAATCATGTGTGTTGTCATATCAACTGTCTTTACATACTTGAAAGAATAAATCAAATCAAATCAAATCAAATCAATCAAATTGGCGAGTCTTCCATCACTTGCCTCCAGATGGTCCAAAATGCTGCAGCACGTCTTTTAATAAGTATGAGAAAATATGAGCACATCTCTCCAGTTTTAGCTTCTCTGCACTGGTTACCTGTTTATTTTAGGGTTCATTATAAAATTTTACTTTTTGTTTTTAAATCCCTTCATGGCTCTGAACCACCTTATTTATCTGAATTTCTTCACTGGCACACACCCACACGTTCTCTGAGGTCAGCCAATCATCTTCTTTTGAGTATGCCAAGAACAAATCGTAAGCTTAGAGGCGACCGGGCCTTTGCGGTCGCTGGTCCCAAAATGTGGAACGATTTACCACTGCCTATCAGACAAGCTTCTTCTTTGTTTGTTTTTAAGTCTCTTTTAAAAACTCATTTATTCTCATTGGTGTAATGATATTTTATATTGGTGTTGATTTTATTTATTTTTATTGATTCATGTTTTTATATTTTTGTGTTGATCTTATTTGTGCTTATGGGTTGTGTAAGATTGGAGTCTTGTAGACTATAGTTACTTTATAAGCTTTAGTTACTTCTCATACCTTTAGTTACCTTTCATAACTTTATCTTACTGGATTATACATATTACAGCTGTATTGATTATTGTGCAGAACTACTGAGCTTTGGTTATTTTCTAATACATTTATTCTCCTTGCTTATCTGTCTTACAATTGTAATGAGGTAGAATCTGCTTGCTGCTTTCTGCAACTTCTGAATTTCTGCATCCCCCAGACAACCAGACGGCCTATTTACATTTTAACAAAGCCCTGCTAGCCCACACCTGCACACACATAGCTCAGCCCTACCAGGGGGTGTCTTACACACACAGACGTCTCATCACCTGAGATGACCACTTGGCCAGTTTAGCATATTTGTTGTCTCACACACACATAGGGGGCCTGTAACCCAGTTAACCCATTTTTCTGTGTGCTTGATCAAGACCAAGTTACCACATGAGACACACACACACACACACACACGCACACACATACAATGAAGTTTAGAAAAATTCTGGATAGAAGCATGAATGTCCTTGAAGAGTTCAACATTTTTATAGCTAAGAGTATGCTGAAGTAGAATTTTCCCATTCAACTGAATGGGGCAAGATTTTCACAATAAAGCTAAATATTTCAAAAGTATGAGATTTAGAAAAATGCTGAATGAAAGCATGAATGTTCTTGAAGAGCTGAACATTTTGATACCTGAAATAGCTGAAAGTATGTTGAAGCAAAAGTATCCCATTCATTTGAAGGGAGCAAGATTTTCAGAATAAAGCTGAATATTTCAAAAGTATGAAGTTTAGAAAAATTTTGAATAGAAGCATGAATGTCCAAGAGGAGCCGAACCTTTTGATAGCTGAAAGTATGCTGAAGTAGTTAAGTGCCAAAAAACATATGGAAGAAACCATAATAATAATAAACAGGATAACATAGTATGGATGCTGAATCAGCATCCATACAATAAAACTGGCCATTGAATAGAACAGGTTAAGTATCACAGAAGATAGACAAACTATTATGTTCACAGGTAAAATACACAATTATCAATATGCGTACATGTATATGAACACAAACAATATCTACAATATACATAATACTAGAGAAAAGCATTTCCTGTCGAAAATGTGTGTGGATGCTAAAGAGCTGAAGGATTTCCCTGAAAATTCCTGAAATCAATTGCTGAAACAGCTGAAGGATAAGAATAAATGGCTGAAGTTCTTTGTTGAATAATCTGAAGGATGAGATGTAATAAATACAAACAGGAATGTCCTTGAAGAGCTGAACATTTTGATACCTGAATGGCTTTTCTATCTGAAAGTATGCTGAACTTATTAGAAAGTTACTTTCGGCTTTTCCCATTTAGGGGTCGCCACAGTGAATCGTCACACTGACGACTCGCATGTTGACATTTGGCACATTTTACGCCAGATGCCCTTCCTGACACAACCCTGATTCGAACCCGGGCCGCAGCGGCGAGAGCGCTGCGCCTTAACCACTAGCCTACCAGGGAGGGCTGAACTTTTTAAGATGTGAAAATTTTCCTGCTGGTCCCCACAAAGTAGGTAAAACAAGTAGGTGTATAGCTGTGTGTGTGTGAGAGAGAGTAGTCCTACACTGAGGACTACTAGAATGTGGTTATTGAAATGAAACATAAAATGTAAACATCAATTATGCAAGAAAGTAAAAAAGTAAAAGAAAAAAATATCAAAAAGCTGTTTACAGTATGAATAGCTGAAGAGTTGCTGATTAACAGTAAGTATGCTTAATGTAGTAAGATGTGAACATTTTTCCCATTCATTTGAATGGGGCAAAATTTGCTGAAAAACACTGAATATATTAAAAAGTCTAAACGTTAGAAACAAGAAAAATACAAGCACACATCCTTGAAAAGCTGACCATTTGGATACCTGAATGGCCTTTCTATGTGAAAGTATGCTGGAGTTATAATGTGCCAAAACACAGTGGAAGAAACCAGAATAATAATAATAATGATAATAAAGAATAGGATAACATAGTGTGGGTGCTTTACAGCATCCACACAATTACTGTATTATGCAATTTGTAGGTGCAGATTTCACAGATGCAGTCCAGTATTAAAATTAAGTAGTAATCACACAGTTGCAGTACAATCAGTACCACTTCCCATGTTTTCCCTCCTTTGAGAGTCCCCCTCCCAACGCCCTCTTTTATTTATTGTCCTGTTTTTATGTTTTCAGACATCAGGAGGTTTGGAGGAGACATTTTTTAAGTCTCTGAACGATCTGATTCGTCATTATAAGAGGAAGAACCAGGGTCTCGCCATGCACCTGCGCCACTCTATCAAAAGGAAGACGGCCATATTGGTTCACCCTCAAAAACCAACTGAGAAACCACCTGAAGAAGAGCCAGGGAAGATGATGGTGCCTGTAGCTGAAGAAGACCATTGCTATGAGAGTATGTCTTTTTTTTTTTACTGAGCCTTCTCTCACAGCATCTTCTTGGAATTGTGCTATATTTGACCTTTTCTGTTTTCCTCCAGATGATCCTGACTCATCTGATTATGTCGTTGTTATCCCTGATTAACTCCGAGACACATGAAAACAGTGCCAAAAACGCTGGAACTATGGGTGATGAATAAGGAACTCAGACAACAGACACATGCTCAAGAACAGAGCTCTGTGTTTGCTTGAATGGCAGTAATTACAAGTTTCTCTTTTGCCAGCCGGCCAGTCAGTCCACCACACTGGTCCAGAATATCACCATCACCATACTGGCAAAGCAGATCAGTCCTTGTGTCTGAAGGCTTAAACGTTGCCCAGCTCTGTTGAATAGTGATGAGCTTTGTTCTGTTATATGTGAATATTTTAGGCTAATACTTTTTATGCATAATTCATGGTAACTTTAACAACTTTAAAACATAAGCATGAAAGTTAGACTGTGATAGTTTTTCATAGAACAAAAATGGACAGTTTTTAATATGAGTAGTTTTTATGTACTGTGTATTTTAAGCACAAATCATTAGTGTAGGTGAGACAGATTTTGGGGGACTGGCAGAGATGGCTTTGATAAAAACATACAATTCACTGATTTAAAAAGGGCCTTTACTGCGGACACATTGAGATCACCGGCCATTGGCACGATACACAAAAGCCCCCCCACCATCCTACAAAAGGTTAAGACTCCCCCCAGACTGATAGAGGCATAAAACAACTACAAAGACTGCATGTCGTGTTGCCTTTGTCTGTAGTCATTTCTTTGTGTTCTGGGCTCCTAACCCTTTTCCCACCCCAGGGTCAAGACCCACTTGGCCAATTCAGAAAAGCCATTAATCAAAAATCTGTCTTCTGAAAGGGAGTATGGTCTGCATGCTCTGCTCTGTCCATCAGGCTGAGGGATGGAAAGCAAAATGTCGTGCAAGTCCAGCCATTACCAAAAAACTTTACTTTATTGTGAACTTAGCAGCATGTAAATTTGGTATAGTACTTGTCAGATATTCTGATGCAGTTCTTTGAAACCAGTTCTTTGTATTTGCATTTATAAAGCCACGGCCAGACCACACAATCTGGCTTGTGCACTGAGCCGGTGTTGCTTTATTTTTAGCGCTGTTTAAAGGTCGCACTGCAGCAGATGCTACATTATCTGTGCTTTCACTTTAATGATTTATACAGGAAGAAAAGCCAAGGAAGACCACATCACTCCAGACATTTATAGTGATTTTAATGAAATTTGTAAGGAAGAAACCAACTCGCCTGACCTCTTTTTGACTTACTGTAAATATCCACACTGTGTAAATATTAATCATAACATAACATTTTCTTCACTGGATTAAGCCTCCCATTCTTCAATAAAACGTCACTCTTGGAGGAAACTGACAGTGGCTGTCGTTGTTTTGCACACTGAATTTAAAATGTGACACTTGAAACTAATTTTTTTACAGTACACACAGGCCAGATCAGCCTCTGTGTGTTGTCGTCTCTGCGGACAAAAACAACACATCCTGTGTCAGTTTTCACACCCCTCCAGCTCTATTTAATGTGTGCAAGGACAGAAGGAAACAACAAAGACACAAAACCCTCAGCTATGGGTTTTTAGACTACGATGCACCATGTAGCCAGTTTCCACAGCGAAGCAACCTCACACATTTGTTTTCAGGGTTTACATTCATTCTTCTAATCTCTACTAAAATTTATTTTTAGGTTTTTTACTTGTAGGCTAACTTCCTTGTCTGCAAATGTAAGCTGTACCAGTAGTTATCCTATACTGCTATGATGGTATAATATTACAACCAAGGTACCATAGAATATACAGAATACATGAAGTAACGTAACATTTACAGTGTATTACAATAAGAAAGTGTGTGATGTTATACTTATGCACAATAATGGTTTGTTTATATTACGAGTTCATGTATGAAACGACAGAAATCAGCTACATATAATGTTCTATTTCTACACTCTCACAAACCGATACTGGTATAGTCTATAAAACTCTGGTGTGGATTAGGCTCCAACTCTGTTTCTTGCCTGTTTGTCAGTTTTCACCAGGCAGCTACCAAAAGCACTGAGCCTACAGTATAACCAACCACAGGAAGTGTGCAACCACTGCTCGTGTATAATACACAAGGTTAAAAATGTATTGGATAATTTTGATTGCTGGCTATTCAGTCAGTTATAAGGAGCTACCCCAGATCCAACTTTGCAGGAGCTTAGAAGTTATGCAGATAGATGTTATCATTTTAATCTGGCTATCAGGCAAAATTTACGGCAACTGATACCGTGGAAGAAAAACATCAAGGTTGGACATGCTGTGATGCTTTTTTAGGGAACAATAAAGGACAAACCCTCAACAGCCATAAAACAAATATATTTTTATATAAGCTAATTGATAATGTTACATATTTGTGCTGGAGAAGTGCTGATTTAGTTTCTAGCACTGCCATATGAAATAAATGTTCTAATATTCTGTCTGCTGCATATTTATGACCAGGATGGAGAAAACTTAGGAAGACGCCAAACTCTAGTGCATTGTTGGAGCTGCTTCGCTGGTTGACTACAGCAAACAGGACTGCACTGAACCAATTTCTGAGCAGAAAGACCTGGTCTTTTCCTCCAAGGCCACACAAAACAGGAAATATTAGCACTGAACAGTATAAAAGGTTTACCACAATATCGCTTTGAGGGCATTTTCAGATGTGAGGTTGGAAAGCTACGCATGTCACCATTAAAGGCTCTATTCTATTATAAAGCCTTGTCCGGTTCTTTCAAACCAGGAACTCAGAGGGACGACTCAGACCACTTGAGTATATAAAAAATATAACCGTGCTGGTTTATTCAAAGAGTCACAGGCAAGAATCAACACTTCAAGTCCAGAGATCTTCCAACCCCCAGGCTGCCCAAGCAGCCCGGAAGCAGGAAAAACCCCGAACCAAGAATTGCTACACAATATTATTCATTTCTGGGCTGTCAAACCGTGACGTCACCTGATATGCCAGCTTGGCAGCTGAGCAGAGCAGTAGACAAAACATGAAGAAAATAATGTGTGTGGCTGTTGTTTTCGTGGTGTGTATCTAAAACAATTTGACATAACATTACACATTAAGACAAATATTATGGTTACTTTTACCGTCATAATAACATTTGTCCCTGACGGCAGCCTTTCTCTGCTTTAACTAACCTTGCATTTAACATCCTGAGGAAGACATCCTGGCTACACTAACATCTTCTAATACAACAGATCTCTAATCAATATCTATCTAACTAAGAAATTACCTAACACCAGTAAGGGTTTTCTCCCTTTTTCTCTTCGTTCTCCTAGCCTGTATATCATTATGTATTACACTGTGTTTTATTAGTGACTATTTGTATCTGTGTGAGAGTAGAATTGCTTTAAGTCCATATTTCCTCTTGACCAGAAGATTTCATACACAGAAGATACTGTTAAACTGTCTTTCACCAGGTTTTGTCACTGAACTACTAGACTTTCGAGCTGCCAGCAGATCTGTGGAGTCTTTTCTCTGCAACAGGGAGAAAAGGATCTTGTGGATTACAAAGGTCTGCTAGGAGAAAGCTTCTCTAGGTGTTTCCTTGCCCTAGTACAGGCATTAAATGTTTAAGTGCTTTCTTTAAAAGTAAAACTTTGTTAGTCATTTATTAGAACTGAACTTCTCATCCATAGCAGCCCTGATTGGCACCAGGTTTGCACCCAAGTTTCTATTTTTTACCCACTGATTTTCCAAAGTTAAAAGCTGTGACTTGTTGTTGAATTTGTATATTTTATTGTAAGGACACTCCAAGTGTTTACTAAATCTACATGCTGGAAGTTAAAATGTGCCTGAGCTTTTACTGTTGGATGTTTTTTAATTTGGAGCCAAAGAGTAGCAGTACCTGGGTTTTTCTTTTTCTTTTTAGAGTTACTATTTTTACTTTTCCTGTTAAAAGTTGAATTTAGTTTTTTTTTCTCTTGTCTGTTTTAATTTTTCTAATTTTTAAAGTCAATGTTTTCTCTTCACCTGTTTTATCTTCCATATTTTGAAGATGGAGCACCGATTTTTCTGTTGCTACTTTTTTGATTTGCTGATTATCACCGTACAAACTGCAGTTCACTCGGCAGTAGAACCTGATCTAGGCGAAGATGGGTCCCTGCGGGACTTAAGACGCCACAGACTAGTCCTCTACTCCAACAACAGTCAAGGTTTCCAGGAGGATTAGGGGGAGGAACTGGCCCTGTGGCTGGGAAAACCATGTAGACAAAAAACAAAACAAAAAACAAAAACAAATGAATTTTCTGAAACATGAAATCTGTGACAACTCAGCCAAGTCATGGATAGAGCTAATTAGACAAGGTGTAAATACTGTAGGCAAAACAATTTTAAATGTAGGGCAGTGAGTGAAGAGTGGAGCAGCAGACACCACATGGAAATGGTTTGCTGAAATATGGCAGAATCTTACATTATGGATAATGTTAGTAACATCTCTAATAGTAGGATCCATAGTTGCTGGAATAACACATTTGTTTTATCTTGTTTTGTTCATCACACTGGTTTACAAGGTTTTTGTTTCCTTCATAATTCCTTGTGTACCAGATAGAGTTTATGATGCTGATCACAGAAATAACTTCAAAATTTTCCCATCACGTATGGTTCTTGAGAAACGGCTAACTCTGTGATATAAAATATGAATTTTTCAGTTCGGGCTTTTCACATATAGTCTGGCAGTAGCCCATGATCTTCAGAGGTCAAAATTTTCATATTTTACTGCCAAAACCGATGCAATTGAAGCTAGAATCATTTAGCTAATATACTGCAACAAGAAAATCGACATGCGTGCATTGGCAACGCAACCCTATATATAGGCCTATCTAGCAGCAGCAGCAGTCATTCTAACTGAAGTCAGTGTCAGTGAGTATTACACTGAAAATAAAACTAGCGAGCTCAAAGGCTGTGAATTTAATTGTATATAGTTTCTGAAATGTCACGCCAATGTCACAATAGCCGTGACACGTTTTGTTACATATGTGGCGAGTTCACTTTGAAAGCACAGAAACGGAGTATGACAGCTCTCATAAAGAAGGCATATGAGTTATACTTCGGATGCAAAATTGGAGACCAGGACAAATTATGGGCTCCTCATATATGTTGTGCATCTTGTGCTACCAGTCTGTGTGCTTGGCTGAAGGGTAAGCGTTCATCCATGCTGTTTGCTGTCCAAATGATTTGGAGGGAGCAGAAGGATCATGTAACTGATTGTTATTTCTGCATGACAAATGTCTCAGGATTTTCTTCCAAGAACAGGAAGTTTATTGAGTACCCGAACCTTGCCTCTGCAATGAGACCAGTACCACACAATGACAGTCTTCCTGTTCCAAAACTGCCAGACGTGGACGCTGGAGGACGAAGAGGAGCAGACAGAGATAGACAAACCGATTGACCGTTGTTGCAGCTCCAACGATCCAGATTTTGAACCATCAACATCCAGTGATCCTCATTTAATTTCTCAGGCAGAGCTCAACGATCTTGTCAGAGATTTGAATTTATCGAAGAGTCAAGCAGAACTGCTTGGATCAAGGTTGCAAGGGTGGAACTTGTCATCAGATACAAAAATTTCATTTTTTTGGCGCTGTCATGAAGATTTGACAAAATTTTTCAGACAGGTTGACAGTCTGACCTTTTGCAGTGACATCAATGGATTGCTTTCTGATCTCAGATGTGAACATGACCCAAAAGAATGGCGACTGTTTTAATCATCACTGTTAAGTTTGAAGGCCGTTTTGCTGCACAATGGCAATATCCACCCTTCCATATCTGTCGGACATGCCGTTCATATTGTGGCAGGCCCGGCCACCGCTTTACATTACGTGAGAAAGGACTGGCCACCTCGCAGGAAATTGGTTCCAGGGCAGAAGAATGTTGCACATCAGCTATTGGTTGATCCAAAGAAAATTTTTCTTTCACCTTTGCACATCAAGCTTGGGCTAATGAAAAACTTTGTTAAAGCAATGAACAAGCAAAGCAAAGCCTTTGCATATTTGCGAAAGATGTGTCCACGCATCAGTGATGCCAAGATAAAAGAAGGTGTTTTCATTGGCCCACAGATTCCAGAGGTGATGAAGGATAGTTACTTTGATGGCCTTCTGCAGGGTGCTGAACACGTTGCGTGGATCGCCTTCAAGAATGTCGTTTCTAACTTTCAGGGCAACTACAAGGTACCAGACTACGTCAAACTGGTTGAAAGTCTGCTCCAAGCATACAAGTCGATGAACTGCAACATGTCGCTTAAGATACATTTTCTTCATTCTCACTTAAACTTCTTTCCAGAAAATCTTGGTGCTGTTAGTGACGAGCATGGTGAATGGTTTCATCAAGAGATTGCCAACATGGAGAATTAGCCCTCTGGTTTACACTCAGAACTCTTGAAAGATTTGATATCACACGACCAGGTATATCAACGACTGTTTTGTTTGTCTGGATCGCCTATGTTCTGGGAACTGAGAATGGTCTTAATGCCCAGAGGACTAACCCTGGGCATTAACCCTGTGTTGTCAAAGTACGGTCTGTAAATCAGCCCCAGCTGCCACCTAGCCAAGTTTAGAAGAAGGGTTTTTCCAGCCAGTAGTCATGTCAAACAGCCATGGAGCACGGTGGCCCCTACAGACAAAGCACATACAGTAAAAGTACAAATATTATATAAATGTGCTGCAGGAAATGCAAAACAAAAATGCTGCTAAAACAAACCTGCACTTCTGGTTTAGCGAATTCATTTGCTACTTTGTCTTTTGCATCAGGTTTTCCATTTGTCCTGATTCTGGATTTGCACGGTGTTTTCTTGATGGCAACAGCAAAGGGAAAAGGGAAGAATAAAAGCAGCTTCTGCCTCACCTTTGACTACTTATATTAATTGACACAGACCATCACTACATTTGGAAAAACACGTTTGTGTGTCGTCAGTGTTTCAACATTTTAAACATATTTCAACAACATACTCCACTTACAGCTCCATTTATTGAAAAATATAACATTTGCAGGCATTTATAGTGCTACTTAGATACAATATAGGTCTGGAGAATGATGCTGTCCACACGGCCTCCGTCTGTCAGGGCAGAATCAGCAGGGGACGACTATGATTCAGTGGGTAGAGCGGTTGTCTCCCAGCTGGAGGGTTGGAGGTTTGAATCACAGTGCCTGCAGTCCACATGCCAAAGTGTTCTTGGGCAAGACACTGAACCCCCAAGTTGCCCCCGATGGTTAGAGCCATTGGGGTGAGTTGGTGCCACAGATGGCTGCCTCAGTTCTGTACCGGAAACAAATTCCTTGTGTGCAACATACTTGGCCAAATAAAGGTAATTATGATCATTATTAGGTGACTATAAAGATAAGATGGAAAGCAGGACTGTGGGTGTATGGTGGGCAGGAATGTCAGAAATGTTTGTTGGGCAGAGCTTGTCCCTAAAGCTAACTGTGGCTGCAGGATGGCTCTGACTTTTCAACGAATCAACAAGTTCTTTGTGAAACCGCCCTCGTGTGCGACCGTGGTGTGGGACTGACATCACTGACGCCATTTCTTCACAGCATTCTTCTTGTCATTGTTGAAATGAGTATAGCAGACACAGCAAATGTCCGATGAGTCTACAACACACAAAGAGCAGGTTACTGGGTCCAAAGGGCCTCAGGCAAACTGAATATACAAGAGGTGGGGGGGGTCAACAGACTGATAATGCTTTGGGTTCCCTCCCACCTAAGACACAGTGATAATGGAATAACATGTATGTAACTTTGTCATTTATTGCATTGCCTCAGCAAAGTCTTGGTCCATATCAATGAGTTCATCGCACACAACGAGGATATTGTTTTATATTGTTTAATAAAAGACAAAAATGACAAACACGACAGCGGACACAAAATAAACGTACCGTTTTCACACATTGCTGTTAGTATCTCGTCCATAGTCTTTGTCGGGATACCTCTGCCTGGGCCTGTTCCCCATGAAACACACAATCATTACATGTTAGTGAAACTGTACATGCCTTCATATATTTTATAGTTCCTTTCCTTACAGGAGGCTCTGAGGACTAAAAACCCATGAGACAGCCAGCTACACACATACGGTGTCACTGCGTGATATGCAAGGGTCCAACTTTGATTTGGAAGGACAAATTATGCTTCCACCTTTCCCTGCCCTCACCGGAGGAAATCTACAGGGCTCGCTGCCTCCACTGAGTCAGAAATATTCTGGAGGACAGTAGTATTTCTTTTCTTTGCTGCCACCTAAAAGGCGCTATAGTTTCCACCACAGAGCCATCACAGAACTTAACTACAGGCACTAGACCAACATATTCTGAGTCATTCACAGGCCAGTAAAATGGGAACAACCTATATTTTATCATTTATTTATTTTTATGTTTTTATTCTCAAAGACCTGCACTTGTAATGTCATTGCACATCATGTGTAATGACAATAAAAGGTATCAATTCAACCAGTCACGTTCATGGGAATGTGAGGTCCCAGTGACCTTTGAACATAAACATCTAATCAGGTCATCCTTGATGAAATTCCCTCACACCAGTCCTGACTTATCACGTTCATGAGAATGGGATGGAGGTAATAATAAACTATATTGCAAAAGTATAAACATGTCATCATGGTATGGAATGCCATTTTACAAACAGGACAAGGAAGTCAAGATTGTTGGAAAGAATACACTACACTTGGAATTAAAACTAAAGCATGACCTATATTTAGTGATATAAACAACAATTTTCATGCCGTATTCTTCTCTCAGCTTTTTCATGACATGATTCATTTTTTTCCATCTGTACAGTCTCAGTGTATTGGTTAAAATCCCTGCCCCAGGTATGTGCACTCTGTCTTGTCTCTGTGCAAATCTCAGGATCACTCACCTATCTGAAAGGAAATCTGCTCTGCAGCCTTCAGTATTTCCTCCAGCTGTAATCTTCCGTAAAAGGATGGTTTTTTTAGTGTTATGCCATTTGGCAGCCCAGCGACATGTATGGTGATGCTTTGATTTAGCAGAGACTGGTATGGTAGCCTCCCGTCACCCCCGGCCTCCTCTAGAATCAGATACACACCTCATCAAACTTTATGCACATTACAGTTTCTGCGAGTTGCAGGCGGCTGCCAGCCTCAGGACCGATGGCCAGACGACTAACCGGCCTCCTGACTTTAAATGTCATCACTCTGCAATAGGTCACTTTATCATAACAATAACAGCGGCTGTTAAAAAAAAAACAAAGGCACAGCTCAGGTAATGAATCTCTTTTTTGGCATTAAAAACGTACTCACTGTACTTTTGGTTGAATAGTTCCTGCACCCTTTTAACCATGACACTGACTGGCTCTTTAGTGGTAGACGCAGCTGAAGAGCTACCTGCAAATGTACGGGAGAAAAACGTTTAGATCAGGTAAGGCTGCCACACGTCTGGGTTTATCTGTGGGAACGTGCATCTGTGTGCACCTTTAAAATGCATAGCAAAACTGTTGACCGTGTCCGCTGAGTCGAGGAAGCCGGCGGCTCCTCTGCTGCTCACTTTATGCACCTCGGAGTCAGCCTTCAGGCGGTCGAGTGACAGCACGGCTGTTTCCACACCCAGCGCCTCAAGACTGGATACCTTCAGCCATGAGCAGGTAGAGGCGAGATCCCCAAGTGTTAAACATGAATGAAATCAAAACAAATATTTACAGATACATGTGGAGCCTGTGTTCAGAATCACTCCAGCTGTGCTTTAGAGCTCCAATTCACAAAGGTACTTTTGTGTCCAAATTCAGTTTTATGCCTCTGACAACCAGTCAAGCTGGATTTTACATGCATGTCTTCCCAGACCCAAATTTAGTGGAGGCTTTAATGAAGTTTAAAGACATTAAGTGTATTTGTTTTTTTACACCTTTGCACCAATGACAGCTGCAGCTGGAAGTATCATGTTTTCGGGTTGTCCATCCATCCCGTTCTTCTGAAGGTGATATGTCAGGAACGCCTTGAGAGAGTTTCTTCACATTTTGACACAAGGATGAACTCATTAGATTTTGGTGGTCAAAGGTCAGTGGCCTCACATCTGTCCCAATCCTATGAATTTGACTGACTGGCAGAGGCACACAGCTGTGAAGCAGTAATTATAGTTTTTACATGCATTTTTTGGGAAAATGACAGCTATCACTATATTGCCATGATCCTAGTGAATAAGTTCCAGTGAGAAACATGCCATCTTCATCTAGAGACTGTCTGTACACAGGACTGATGGAGAGCTTTGTCACATGATCCTTGAGTCTAAGTGTACATTTGGGCAAAATCTGAAGAAATTCCTTCAAGGAGTTCCTGAGATATCTACTACACAAGAATAGGACAGATGTGAGGGTGCAGTGGCCTTTGACCACCAAAACCCAGTCATTTCAGTGTTATTGGTAGACATTTGAAGAAACTCCCTCAAGGACTTCCTGAGCTATTGGAAGAACGGATAACTTGAAAAACATACTGTGGTACCTCCAGCCTTAGTTGTCACTGGTGTGGAGGCATAAAAATCCCACAATGCAATGAGATACATCTGATAGGCATGAAAATGACTTTTGTGCAACACTCCACCTCAGCGATGAAGCTAAACCTGATGTCTTATTTAAGGAGGAACTGAGGGCGTTTCAAACACAGCCTCAGAAAGAAGTCTGACAATTACATGCACAAAACATGTCAACACACAAATCTATGAACTATGAAGACAACATTTAGATTAGTCAGGCCAACCTTTACCTTTACATAACATTACATCCTGCTCATATCACGAATGCTGACAAACATCCTTAGCACTGTTACACTAACAAAGCCTGGCCTTTATTCCAAACCTCTAACTTGAGCTGCTTCAGGTGCTTTTTAACCTTAAGCTCCCTCATCTCAGGGCTAAGGTGCTGTGTTTTTCCTTCAGCCTTAAGGGCGGCTGCCTCTTCGAGGTAGTTATTCTTCTGCTCCTCCCCTAATGAGGACCACCTGGGCTTAATATCTCTGAGTGTGCCTGAGAATGAAAAAAAAGGCATTTAAAATATGAATATGTAGAATATACTGTATGTCTGCAACTCTATGGGACCTCCATTTGTGTTGATCTACACACAAACAGAAAGACAACAACAAAGCCCGAGCAGGATTTGAATGCAGTTTCAAATTTCTGCTGATTTTGTTATTAAAAATGATCCGAGCTTTGGTTTGAAGGCACAGAGACATAACTCCTGGCCAAAATGAACACTCAGATTACACTACAGTGGCAGATCTACATGAGCAGATGACTTATGAAGGTCAAAACATTGCTAATGCAGATAAAAGTGAAGGGACACCCAAACAAAATTCCAATCTGCCTGTGCTCGCACCATTTCCTCTGAGCCAGAACTGAAGCAAGTCTCTCAAATGTAATTATACAACATAATCTATAAAACACATTTGGCCTCAGTCCAATTTGGATGGGCAAAAACAAACATTTTAAGGCAGAAGCACTGGGGTAACCTGCTTGCTATTATAACTCTATTAACATCACCTTTAAACACACTAATCAAGAACATGTAACGTAACTTAACCTACACTACCAGTCAAAGGTTTGGGGTCACCTCCATGTTTCCAGGTGTTATCAGTGACATCTTTCTACAGCTGAGATCTAACATAGCTGGGACAGACAGATGTGTGGGAAAGTCTGCAGCTTGTAGGCTGCTTTGCGTTCGCTCTTCATGTTATGGTTTAGTCCCCCTCACCAGGGGCCCGTTTCAAGAAGGAGGTTTTGTTGAAACTCAGAGTTTGTTAACCCTGAAATGAGGAAAACTCTGAGTTTTCGGTTCCAGAAACGGAGGTAACTTAAACCCGTGAAAGCGGGGTAAGTTAAACCCGTTTCAAAAAGAGAGGTAATCTAAACCACAGTGCATTCATAGATTGCACATGTTTCCGTCACGCAGAGACCAAAATGGCATGTCCATTTATAGAGGATCCTGTAGATGAGGACGCTGT